TAGACCTAGTACTTCATTTTTCTTAGGTCCAGCAGGTTAACACACGCTGATAAAACACTCACCATTGCATCAAAGAGGAGTGTTACAAAAAGCAAGTGTAATGCTGAATTCGTTCAAAACAAAATACCCAGACCTGGGCCTTTGTGACACTCCTGTCATCTTCCAGTTCTGAGACAGCTGCAAAGGGGAGAGCATCCTGAACCCAACCAAGGCTGCCAGAGATATTGGGATAGGCTAGTTGCCAGGAACTATAGGGAGACAGGCTTTGTGAGATTCTCTCAGGAGAACTCGGCATAGAGAGTGGCATGTGGCAAAGACATGGTGGCATGAGCTTCGGATCAGCGCTCCCATGTGGACAAGACCTTGATCATGAAGCTTGCCTATGCCCTCCACGGTAGACAGAGTCATTTCCTGCTTCACGGATGGCCAGTTCATTGATAATATGTGGGGCTCGGGGTGCAAGAAGCTGGGTATACACGTTTGTGACTGCTGGTTCCTCTCAGGGACATCCTTTGACCCAAAGATTATCCTGTGGAGTGAGAGAGGACTCCTGGGGTGAGGAGTCACACTGATGCTGTCTTCTGTAGTTTTTAACATCACAGAGCCCTTCCCTAACCTGGTCACTTCTGGACTTTGGTCCTGGCCCCACCGAAGGAGCCTAGCATGTAGGCCACAGCCTACTGCCCAGGCTGGCCTCAGTCCACTCTGAGTGCTTTCCCTGCCCTCAACCTCTAAAGCAGTGGCTCACCCATGCAAGCAGGCCACAGACTAGGAGAGGGAAGGGATAACTGACAGCCACGACGAATGGATATTTAAGGCTACAGAAGTCCCTTACAAGTGGGGGATGCTTTGTGGCACTCCTGGTTTTCCTCCTAGATGTCAGTTCTACACAGTCCTAACAAGGATGTCTCCAGACATGTTTCCTGGTGCCTATGGCTATATAGAACACACACACTAGAGGCATGACAGGCACGTCTACCTCAGGTAGGTAGGTATAGACTACCATGTGGCCCTTGAGTTCAAGTCTAGATATTAGAATGGTCAGATCCTCATGCTGCGATTTGGTTATGGTGGGTTTCTGGTGATGGAACTTTAGTCCCCAACTTGGCAACATAATGTAACCTTATGTGAGGTGGGACTTGATGGAAATTAAGTCACAGAATACCATCCTTAGAAGGGTTCAGTTCTCAGGATCAGGAAGCTCGGGAAAAGAGCCTGCCCCCAGCCCTTCCTCACTTAACCAAGTCCCCTTTCGTTTTGTCACTGGTGGTACCACGGGCACACCAGGCCTCCCTAGGACCACAGAGCCAGGATGTTTGGAAGATCAGACTCGTAAGTCAAACAAACTTCTTTTGTCCTATAGTCTAGTAGAAGAGAAAGACTAATGCCTTCTGTCTTAGCGAGGGCTTCAATTTCTGGGATGAAACACCAGCACCAAAAGCAAATTTGAAAGGGTTTATTTCACATCATAGTTCGTCACTGAAGGAAGTGAGGGCAGGACCTCAAACTGGGCAGGAACTTGAGGCAGGAGTTGATGCAGAGGCCATGGAGGGGTGCTGCTTACTGGCTTGCTCCTCATAGTTTGCTCAGCCTTATTTCTTAATAGAACTGCCAGGCCAAGGATAACACCACCCACAATGGGCTGGCCCTCCCACATCAATCACTAATTAAGAAAATGGCTAAAGTCCTATGTTATGGAGGCATGTTCTCAACTGAGGCTCCTTCCTCTCTACTTTCTGTCAAGCTGATAAAACTAGCCAGCACACCCTCACAAGACAGTCCTTGAGCTTCTGTTTCCCTGTGTGTGCCCCAGAAGGGGCTCTGTGGCTACAGCTGAGTATTGCACTAGGTAGGAGAGGAAAGTGCTTCTCTAAAGGAAACTGATGAGGGGCAAAATGCCCAGGAAAAGGAGTATCTGAGGTTGTGGGCAGACCACTGCAGGCACCCTGTGGAGCCTTTCCACAACACGAATGGGGTGGTTGGCAAGGAAGGCATTTCCACTGGGGTGGACCGGTTGTGGGAAGACTAGAAAGTGGGGAATTCTGGGCATGGAAACCTACAGAGAGGCTTGGCTGAGAAGCCATGCTAGGCTGTGATATCAGAAGACCTCACTGGCTTGGCATCTAGCAAGGAGCCTTGATGGCAAACGATGGAGAGACACTTGATAAGGCTGTCACTGAAGCCAAAGGGGCGGAAGGCATTTGAAGGAATTCTTGAGTGTTTGTGAGTAAAATGGGACTCTGCAGAGTGTGTGCAGATCAGCTCCAGTCATCTGACCTCCAATAGCCGAAACCTCCTGGGCTGACGCCCATTTCAGGAAGGCTCAGGGGCTGGTAAGTGGACCTGCTGGCGTCCCCTCTCCCGCTGATTCCTCAGATGCACTCCCACTGTGAGGCCTTGTCACACTGTCTCCTGATCTGTGAAGGTTTGTCTCTTAGAACTCAGTGAAAAGCAGAACTATACAACCCACTTCTCTCATCCTTGCTTGAAGTCTGGTGCTGTGTTTGTGTATCTGTGCACAGGGTTCTATGGCTATATTGAGAGGAAATGGGATTCTGTCCTTAAATTGCCATTTCAGGATAGAAGTCCAGCTGGCTTACATTTATCTGTGTCCTCCCCAGTCTGAAGCAAGCATAATGCATAATCACTTGTCTGTCCCCAAGGCCATGGCTAGAAGAGTCACTCATGCTGACCAAAGAATGTTCACCGGCCCCTGCTTAGCAAATGCCACCCAGCTGACTCAGCGTTGAGAACATTTGGTTCTTGCAGTGTCTGAGGAGAACAATAAACACAGCTCCTCCTGTCAGACAAGTGCTTCTGGGCCTTATGTGTGTTTCCTGGTGAAGGAGCCTTGGCCTCACCTAAGAATGTGCTAGAAATGGAGATGTGTGAGGCAGGCCTGTGGTCTGCACTGTCAGAAAGCCTGAGAAAGGACTCCAGCATGGTTTTTAGCAAACCATCCAGGTGATTCAAACGTACATTAAATGAGAAACACTGGACCGAGCAACAAAGCAAAAGATTAGGTAGGTGGGGCTGGAGGATCACAGTGAGCCTGACAGAGGCACTTTGCTAGAGTGCCCAGACCTAGCCTGGAACAGTCAGACCGATCTACCACTGAATCTCAAGAGAGCAGGACTACCTTCCCTGTGGTTACCTCTGGGAGGTCATGGGGCATGGATAACTGTGGACTTTGTGCAGCCAGCTCCCCCGAAAGACAGCATGAGAAACAGGGTCATTCACAAACTCTCCAGTCAACGTCTGCCTCTTCCTGGAAAGGCTTACAGATTGGATACTAGGACAGGAGCTGAGTGCTCATCATATACACATATGTGGAGAAGAAAAGCCTCCCTACCCACATGCTCTTTCTGGGTGCATTAGAGGCCTGCTCCCTCTCTGCTGGTGACACTATAGACATTGGGGGTCTGAGCCGTCCACTTCCAGCCTATTTGTCCAATGATGTGCGGAAGGGTCAGAAAAACAGCCACTAGAGCATGAACAGTGAGGGCCTGATGTGTTCCTCTCTGCATGGGGAGCTGGACTTGGTGACATCTGAACATAAACACTCTTAATTCTCCTGCCTCAACTGCCCATCTGTGCCAGCCAGCCAGCCACCTTCTGTTCCATAGTAAAAGTACATGAGTTCTTTCCCTTTTCTAAGAACACACATTACAAACAGAAATTAAATGTAGAAATGGAGATGTCAGACTCATTCTTTCAATCCAAACACCCCGTTTTACAGCAGAGGAGCAAGGCTGGAGCAATTGTTCCAAGGTCCAACCACTAATCCCCACTAATTTATAGCAGAGTACACACTGCAGGCCCCAGTCCTCGCCTGCTGAGGAAGCCCATAAGCCTCCTCAGCCTCTGCCTCCGGCAGGCTCCCAGTAGGATTAGCCCATATCCCAACACAGACATCTCTTTTCTAATGCCTTCTGCCTGTGGCAGGCACTCGCCCCAGACAGAAAGGATCTATCCGTAAAAGTAGCGATGACTGTGGATAGCAGGCTCTCTCTTGAGCTGAAGACTAGAGTCTCTGCCAAGAGCTGGAATTAAGGACAACTGTGATATAGTCCAGCAGCATGGCCAAGGTTCAGAACTCACAGCCTGATGATTCCCAGTTGATTCTGGTCCTTACTGGTTTGTTTGTTTATTCATTTATTCATCCATTCATTCATAATACAAAAAGTAGTCTTTCACATGCTCCAAACCTCCTCTGCCACAGTATGTTCCAATCTGGGGCTCCAAGGCATCCCTGTCTTTTGACTGGATGCCAATTTCTGCTTATAGCCAAGGAGAGGCCTACTCAGGAATTTGATAAGTTACCACCACAGCAAAGTACACGGTTATCTCTTAAGTTATAAAAAATGCTGATAAGAAAAGCTTGAAGTGCATGAGAAGCAAGTGTGAATGAACATTTCTTGATAATAGATAAAGTGTTATGACTGATAGATAAAGGCCTGCTTAGGAGCCCTCTGCATTGCCATGGTACCCTGAAAACCACTGACCAATGAAAAACTCTATCGTGACATACTTTGTTCGGTTGTTATGAAAATCCTTAAAGTCTACCTTTGTGCCTGGTAAGAACTTGACACATTCAACAGATCTTTGCAGCACAACGCATTTCTAAGGCGACAGTTTGCAGTGTGACTCAGCTATCTGAACAGTCACCCTCATGTCACACAGCTGAGTCACACTGCAAACTGTCGCCCAGTGCTTCAGTCCGTGCACATTCACGGCTCGCTCAGGCAGGCCGGGTACCACTGCATGAATTACTAATGCCTCGTCACATCACCTGCCAGCCCTGCTCCTGAGCCCTCCTCACCCCTCCCCAGACACTGGCTCTCGTCTTAGCAGCCCTCACTTGGTGAAACTGGAGACGAGAAACTGAGATGGCGGGGTAGATCCCAGCGGTCAGCAGGGCCTGTTGGTGAAAGCACGGCACACAGCCGCTGCCTGCCACCGAGGTGCAAAGTGAAGTGGGAATCCAGGCTCCAGGTGCTGTCAGAATATATTTATTGCTACATTTATATACAATTATACAAACAGCCCGGATGGGGTGGGGGTGGCATGTCACACTGATCTCTGCAGATTCCACGGGAGCACACACAGGAGGAGACGCACGCCACCAAGTTTGTTCTCAGATAAAAGCCGAAGATTAAGTCGCACACGTTAAAAAAAAAAGTTTTGAGTCTTGAAACTTCTCCGCATATATTCCATCTTATGAGGGAGTCATGCAGAAACCAAAAGGGCGAGGGGAGCTGGGGGATGCCTTCCAGCATCTGAGAAAGTGGCAGCTGAGAGCGCCAGGGCTGCAGGGCTGCGACATTCGACATTCCGAGTCCTGCTCCATCGCCTGAGCTCTGTTCCTAGGAAAGGCAGTGAAGAAGTACCGGAAGTGACAACAGCAAGAGGAAAACCCATAGCAACAGGGAAGGAGCATCAGGAAGTGCCCTGGTTGACTGAGGTTCCGGAGGTTGGGGGTGCGTGTGGTCAAGATACAGGGCTATCTCAGTACATCCTTAGTCTAAAGCTCAGCATGGGGCAGTCACCAGGGACCTGTATGGAAAGATAATGTGACAGTCAGGAGAAAAAGAAGAAATTTCAGCATAAATATTAGCAGGATGGGTTGCAAAGGGCGTGGCCCTGAAAACTCCTGTTCAGCACCCTGGGAATGTTTAGGGGCTGTGCAGGGGATGGAATGCTGCTGAGGCTATGCCAGGGCTAACTCCAGGGTGACTGGAGTTGTTTGGGGCCTCAAAAGAAAGCAGAGCAGGTCTGGGAACATTCTGACCCCAGAATCATGTTATGGATATAAAATTACAGTCTAAGCACTGCCGACCGCATCACAGTCACAGACATTTCTGCTATGAAGGGGGTAGGGAGGAGAATGGTCTGAGGAGTGAGCACACCTTACTGACACCAGCTCCATGTGGCACACACCTCAGGTCACCTCATATTTCAAGGACCCCGCACAGAGAAACGTGAGGTCAGAACTGACCTGGCCTTTGAAACACACCTCAGCCCAGAGGCTTGGCAGAGAACCTAAGGCGTAAAGGACAAGAAGCCCACAATTCACGAAGGTGCTCCGAACCAGCCTCTGGGCTATAATCTGGTCCTGAGACTGTAGGGGGCCTCACCACTGAGCAAACCAGTCAGCTAGGTCCTGTCTGTGGCTTTGAATGTCACCTCTAAATTCTTACCAACAGAATCCCACAGGTGGGCAGGATGACAGTTCTGAGAAACCTTAAAGAAAGAAGAAGTAAGGTCTAAAGAACAACTAAGCCCTCTTCGGGTGACAATCGACTGTGAAGGCCGCAGCCCTTCCAAGGCTGACAACATTTCAGGCTGAAAGACGCGGCGACTGCCAGCTCCCTTGTTCCCTTCATGAATTCATCTCTGGATAATTCAAAAGCTGTCATTTGAGCTCGGCTGATCTCGTGAGTCACACACACACTTCTTTTTCTGCTTCTGACAATAGCTCGGTGACAGCCTCTCTCCAAGGAGCCCCTCTGAAGGGCACAGTATCAGCAGGTGAAAATCAGTGAGAATGGAGGCGATCCTCCAGCCTGTTTGAATCTGGGGTTTTTACTAATCCAACAAAATAGGACAGGTAAAGTTCTGAACCAGAAGACAGGGTTTTGAGGTGAAAAATTATGGAGAATATTGTTTGTGGAAACCTTTGAATGTTGAGGGTGTGTTCTCAGCAGAGATTTTTGTTCAAATACGAGGAGCAAGAACAGCTGAATCTGTGAATTTACAGCTGGCCCCTCCCCTTTCAAAATGAGAGAGCACAGACCCAGAGAGGTGCTCTGCGGCCTTCAAGTGCACTGTCAGACTGTGACACTTCCAGTAGTGTCGAGAGGCATCGGGAATCTGGCGTGACCTGCACCTCACTTCACAGAGTCTAAAGTTCAAGCCTAAAGGAGTCATTTGTACGCTTCCCGCCCGTATGCAAGCCCAGAAGGCCTGTTTCACCACATGAAGTCTAGATGGAACCCTGCCACGATGGCTCATATGGCACATCTTCACACATCCATGTATAAGCAGGTGGGGAGAAGTACGGAAGAGTCTCCCAGAAAGTTTGGGGGACCCCACCTGGATTCTTCACAGTCTTTAAGATAAATGAAAGGGCTGTGGTTTCAGTCACAATAGTTTCTGCCAAGGAAGTGAAGTAATTTTCCAACAACCTGTCACCATGGTAAGCACATTAAAATGATTTTTAAATACAGCCAGACTGGGCAAGGTGCGTAACACTTTATTAATCAGGCTGACGAACCAGTTCTTTGATTGCTCTGACTCAGCATGCACGTAAGACACAGCTGTGTGACTTTAATAGGCCGGCAAAGTGCACGTGTCACGCGGGGGGGGGGGGGGGGGGGCACACTCTAACGCCCCCTTCTCATTCGCCCAGAGTCTTTCCCAAACGCAAGAGGACTTCCCGCCTGAAGTAGCCTTCTACCAGTCACCCGGCCACGGTCACAGCGGGAAGCTCATTTTTCAGAACCGCACTGAGAGCCAAGTGATTGATTGGAGGATGGCGCCCTCGACTGGTGAGGGACCTGCAAGACTGGGCTGTGGGGAAGGTGGAGACGGGGCAGGGTGGGCTCAGCTCCTCCAGCTGGACAGTGACTAACGACGCTGGCCAGCAGGGGAACAGACACAGGTCCTAGGGGACCCCAGGATTTCTGTGTGTTTCCCGGGGGCACGGGCGCATCCCAGCCGCCGCAGCCAGCTACACTTACCTCAAGAGGAGGAAGGCTTCGCCCGCTACATCTGCTTCATGCTGCTCTGGCAGGAGCGCATCTGGAACAGGGCGTACAGTTTGGGTCCCCACCTTTTGGAAGAGACATCAAGAGGTTAGGAAATACGAATTGAGACAGGCACAGGAGCACGGGTCCTGGGGGACGGGGAGAGGCAGCCTGCTCGGCCGTTTCCAGGCCAGGAAAGTCTGGTTTCCTTAGCGCGGACATCAGAGCGCCAACTGGGGAACTCAACTGCGATTCCGATTCCTAACTCTCCTTGGAGACTCCCCTTGGAAACTCTGCTAGTCTAACATGAAACAAGAAGAACGGAGGGGCCTTTTGAGGCAGGCGCTGGGGGGTTCTGTAAGAACTGCAGCAACCATCCTCACGCTGGCTTCGCAACAATCACGGCTCCAAAGCCATTCACTGCAGAACCTCAACTGAGGCTGCCCTTAGCTTAGTGAGTGGCTAAGGGTCACTTTGAACCTCTGTTCTTCCTGATCCACCCCGGGGCTAAAAGCATGCGCCGCCATCTGGTTTCCTGTGGCGCTGGGGCTGGAACCCCGGGCTTTCTGCAAGTTCGTCAAACACTCCTAACACGGGGGCCACACCCCAGCCCAGATTTTCTCTATCATTTTACAGTCCTCCCGTGATCCAAGAACTGTTCGCATCCTTCAGGGGACAGACAGCCTAACGGGCCTCAGATGTTGTGGCGCCCGCTTAGAAATCAAGCGTTGCTGTCTCTAAAGGAGCGAGGGTTCTCAGTGTATTCTCACTGTCCCCTGCTCGGCTGCTGCAAGACGTCTTCCCGGCTGTTCAGGCATGAGCTACAGAGACCTGGGCTGGCCGCAGTGTCTTCTTTATTGGGCTCAGCGGACACGCTCGGATACATGCCAAAAGCAAGGTGAAAGTTAACCCAACCAAGAAAAGACTGCACTAGCCACGCCTACTCATCAGTACGCTCCCACACTGGTGCTCACAGTAGATTCTGCACCAGCAACCTAAGCAATCAGAAACACAAGTGTCTGCCTCCTAAATGGTAGTGTACCAAAAAGCACCCGTGTGTGTTGGCGGGGGGGGGGGGGGGGCGGGGGCTGGCTCCCTAAAAGCTACTGTGGATGGTGGGTCTGCAGCTAAGCTAGGTCTTTGAACCAAAATGAAAAACTGAGCCTTGCAATAAAACAGAAGAAACTGCAAATTTGTCAAATCTGGTAATAAAAGGACAGAAATAATGAGTTACTGACAGTTTAGTACTTTTTCTTTAATGCTTGTTAAACTTGTTGTTTAACTGAGCTTGTTAAACTGAGCAGAGTTAACCAGAAATGATTAACAATTAAAACTTGGACATTTTAAGGGGGTTTCAAGCACGCGGAGGATGTTAGCAGTTAGCTGAGCGGGGCTGGGGCTCTGCGTCCTGAATACTCTTTCAACCGGATGGAGGGTTGTACCTTTTCCTTTGGTTGACAGTTCTGTGGTCTCCATCATTGACCACTGTTGAAGGAGGCTTACACTGATGAAGAGACAAAAGCGGAAGGAAAGCAAGGGAAGGAAAAGAATTGTTTAATGTGTATGTTAACATCTAGACAAAGGAGAGTGGGGAGTAAAGAGAAAGAAGAGCAACTTGGAGAAGACAAAGGAAGTGAGTAAAGAGGGCAGAAACTCCCAAGATGGCCAGCAGATGGCGCTGCTACATTACACTACTTTGAAGACCGGCTCCTCTGAAGGGGAGGACGAGGTACATACTGACCAGACTGGATAGTCACAGGGCAGGTGGCTCGGGACACGTGGAGCACTGGCCAGAGCTAGGACATATGTTATATTGAGTTATTTCAAACACATAAATTTTAACATTAAATCTATGTTCATCTAGTTTGAAAGATAATCAAAATTTATTGAAGTTACCTCAATATGCACATGAATTTCATGAGTTTGAAACCCTCTTTTGTGAACAAACCTCTTAGCAAACTCTGAGTAAGCCTATAAAAGGAATGTTCGTTAATCTGGCAAAGGTCATGTCTCCAACCCTAGGACACAGAGCAATGTGATGTTAGCAATATTGGTCTCAAGAGAAATGAGATACCACCAGCATTTAGCACTAAACTGGAAAATCCATCTGACAAGCGAAAGAATAGAAGCTATAAATGCTGGAAAGAATGACTGAAAATGTCATCAGTGCAGAAAATTTAGAATGCCTCAAAGCATCTGCAAATTATTAAAAATAATCAGCATTCAGGAACGCTCTTAAGGCCAGCAGACAAAAAACTAGTTTCATTTCTCCACCCTAGCCTCGAACATTTTCAGTCACAACCCTCAAAAGATTGTGGGATAAGAGTATTAATAATAAACCTAAAAAAAGGAGATCTGTGATCTCACTGTTAACAACTTTCCCTAACCACATGATGAAAGATGCCAATAAATTAGGATGACATCATTGTTATTAGGAGTCTTTTGAAGTTGTACCGATGTAATCTCTTCCCAGTATAATCTATTCAAACATCTCTCATCAAACACCTTTCACCATAAAACTTAAACTAATTCCAAGATTTACACAAAAGAGCAGAGTCCAACAGAGGAACTTCTCACCAGAATGAAGAGGAGAAACTTCAGAAGTAAACTACATCAGGGATGAAGACATGCTAAATTAAGACAGGATGGAGCAACATCCTGAGATGTGAAAGGAGCAGCAATGGTCACTAGAAGGGAGAGCATGAAGAGAGCCTCTTGTGGCAAGAAGGGGACCTGGAACCCCTGCCTAGGCCCATCCACGCTGCCTGGGAACCATGCACCAGGTGCCAGCCATGTCCTCCTTGTCCAAGCCCACCCGCAGCTCCCAGGAATTTTGCTCCTGGAGCCCAGCATGCACAGGCTCCTGCAGCAACTAGGGGACCCTACATCCCCCCTCCTTAGAGGCTGCCCAAGTCTTGCCAGGATGCACTGCATGAGCCCCACAGGGGCGGGGGTTGAGGCGGCTTTCCACCCTATCATGATTCAGTCCTCTCCTAGGCATTGCAAACTACCTCTCCTGAAAGAAACGAGAGAAAAACAGCCAATAAACTACTGCAGATGTGCAGTATAGAAGCAAACATAGGAAAATCCACGCCAGCGTGTCTCCCAAACAAGTCCCTAATTCCATAATAAAGATACCTAACAAAAATGACCTGGAAGAATGACCATACAAAGAATTCAAAAAAACAACTAGAATCATGTTCAAGTTACTCAAGACATGAATATACACCAAAAGGAGAGACAGAGAAAGATGAAATAAGGAAGCCAATCCAAGATATGAAAATAGGAGATAAGAAGAGAATTACTGTAGACAACTCAACTTTAAAACTTACATGGTGCTGGAAATAAAAATTTCAATAAGCCAAATAAAAAGCTCAGTGGAGATCCAATAGAGTGGATCATGCTGTAGACAGAATCAGGGCAGAAAGATGTGGTAGAGGAACTAGATCCCTCAGCAAAGGGCACAGTCCTTCAGGTGACTCTGGAGGCATTGGGTTAAGCCAATGTTAAAGGTTTTCCCAGAGCAGGACATGCCCTTCACTACCACAGAGTAAACCCCCACTGTAACCACATCAAGGTTCCTGGCAGCAGAGAAATCCACATCACTGGCTGTTTGTGGTTTTGTTGTGTAGCCTTGGCTAACCAGGAACTTATTATGTAAAATAGACTAGCCTCAAATTTAAGGAGCTCTTCCAAACTCCACATCCCCACCCCCACCCCTCACCCCAAGTGTGGGATAAGAGGCCTGAGCCTGCCTGGCTCTGGATTCTTAAATCCAGCAAACCAGCCTGTTTTGTTCTAACAGTGACTTAATCCCTCCCCCCCCACACCGTTTCTTGTAAATCTAAAGCCTCCCTAACAATAGAAAATAAATGAAATCTAGATGTAAATATAAATGAAGCCAGCTGAAACCCAGGCTGGCTCCTTCATACACACCACACATGCGGGCCAGAGAGCCAGAGCCACACATGTGACAGTAATTCATCGGCTCACAAAGGCAAAAGCTTACAGTCCCTGATAATTGGCCATGCCAGGTGTGGTGGCTCTCACTCATAATCCCAGCACCCAGGAAAGCAAGGTAAGAGCTATGAGTTCAAGACCAGCCTAGGCTACATAGAGTGAGCCCTTATCTCAAACAAAAGACCATTTGCCAATCAAAGTTCTAATCTGATAACTAGAAAGCTAAATGCATCTCTAGTGATTTTCCCTTAATAGTGTAGTTTTCATTTCAATTCCACAAGTAAAAGCGCTATAGCTTAATGATACATAAAGCTAAATTAGGTCATGTTTATCTGTAGACACAGAACATCTGTAAAACATTACTATGCTGTTTTTTTTTCTTTTCAAATATTCTAATAAGGCACAAACTGACTTTTAATAAAATAATCAGCCTCCATTCTGAGAGCTAATTTAACATTCTGCTGTTAGACACAGACCTCCACTCCAGAGCTACAGGAAGTACAGTCCTGGTCACGCCGCAGCTGACCTCACATCTCAGCCTGCCCCTGGGCTTCCTTACTTCCTTCATCTCTTCTCTCCAATCTTGAATTTTCTCCGGTCTGAATTTAGTCCCTTTACCCCGCTTCTGCCCCAGCGGGAATCTACACGAGCCTGTTTCTATCTCCATCTTCACTCCTCCAATTTTATTTTTCTATAGGTTTCTTAACTTTAAAAAGAATTTCCCAAGTATTGTTATCTACATCATTCCCATCCTCCCTCTCTGGCAGGCTTCTCCTGTGTCCTGCCCACTCCCTCTCAAATTCATGACCTCGTCTTTAATTATCGTGACACATGTGCATACATATGTAACAAAAGCACGCACATATGTGCTTTTTAGTGTTGCACGTATGTGTACGTTCACACACGTTTAGGCCTGAGCATTTGGGAAGATAACCTATCGGAGGGTTTATCTCCTTGGAAGAGACTGAGTCAGTCCCCTGCTCTCAACAGCATTAACTGCCTATTAGCTGTTCACCTAGATTAAGGCCACTCCTTGGGGGCATGTGCTTCCTTTGACTTGGGAGCTTTAACAGACAGTGAAAAGATGCATTCTCTCCCCTGCAAGGGTCAACCACCTATCTCAGTG